CCCTTAAAGGGGAAAGGTTGCCTATCCCTGCTCAAGAAAGAAGAGTCTGCTAAGCATTAGGGAAAATGTCCTGATCATAAGAGCTGTTCAGCGGTCAAAATAGACTAGTCCTCAAAGCATGGTAGACTCTCTTTCTTTGGAAGTTTTAAACAGAGGTTGGATGGCCATCTTTCAGGACTTATTTAGCTGTGATTTCCTGCAGGGCAGAACAAGCACTCTGGGTACTTTCCTGTCCTATGATTCTTATCAGCAATTTAATTGTTTGCTTTTAAATTTTTGGGATGGGTGGGCGAGGAAAGTGGTCCTTCGGTGGCTCCAACAGTCCTACTTTCTCAAACTCCCTGACTCTTTGCTATCACTCACAAATCCACACATGACCAAGATGACTGGGGCTGATGAGAACCATGATTCATCACATCTGGAGGGTTGAGGAAATACTGAGAAAGGTGAAGTAAACCAGAAGTGGAGAGTCTTTAGCCGTTTAGTTGTTTTGAAATATCACTCCCATCTACATAGGGCTAAGACATCTAAATGCCTGGAGGCCCAAATGCCCCCCCCCCCCCCCCCCCCGTGTAGACAGTACCAGACTAGATGGATTCATGGTTTGACTCATCAGAAGGCTACTTCATAGATTCCTATGATCAATAAAACTGAGTTATTGAACTTCAGATTCCTCACTTTCTTCTTTCTGCTGTGATGCTGGCTGACTTGATTATCAGTAATAAGGCTGAGGAAAAAATAAGAAAATGTTGTTACTCACTCTATGCCTTAGGGCTATGTAAAAATAAAAATGAAACCAATTCTAACAAAATTTGCAAGCTATGAGGGAACAGTAGACACTAGAGATCACAGCTGTTTATACAGCTCTCACTAGTGCAGGATAGATGGTTCTTTCTCTGTGTATGTGCATGCACGCATTTCTACTCCAAGGAGACATGGCTAATCTTCAGTAAAAAGAAAAAAGAAAGAAAGGAGACTTGTAAAGAGCAATAGTTCAATTAGAGCATATGCATCGATTGCAGGTGTAACCACTGGCATCTGACTGAAGGAGATCTGGCAGTAGTGCTGTGGAATTCATCTACCCAAGACCATTCAGAACTGTTATGAGTCATGGCTGACAATGGGGCTAGATGGTCTGACCATCTTAGGCATATGGGCATATTATTTATTTATTTATTTATTTATTTTCTATCCCGCCTTTCTCCATGAAGGGACCCAAGGTGGCTCACAAAAAAAATTCTAAAAAACAGTATCACAATAAAATAATTAAAAACATTAGCTAAAAATAATATAAAATACAAACATTAAAACCACAATACCATATAAAATTCATCCCATCATTTTGCATTATGCATTAAATGCCTGCCTGAAAAGAGCCGTTTCTGCCTGCCGGCAAAAGGCAGGCAAGGAGGGGGCCAGCCTTGCTTCTTGTGGAAGGGCATTCCAGAGGGCAGGAGCAGCCACCGAGAAGGCTCTCTCTTATGTCCTCACCAGGCGGAACTGTGATGGTGGTGGGACTAAGAGAAAGCCTCCTCCTGAAGATCTTAGGGCTCTAGGTGGTTTGTATGAGATATGGTTTCTCAAATAATCTGGGCCTAAGCTGTGTAGGACTTTACAGGTCATAACCAGCACTCTGAATTGTGCCCAAAAATGAACCTGTTGCCAGTGAAGCTGTTTCAGCAAGGGAGTTATATAGTCCCTATAACTGGCCCGTCAGCATTCTGGCAGCGACATTCTGCACATGATGAAGTTTCCAAATAGTTTCCAAATGTAGCCCCATGTAGAGTACATTACAGTAGTCCAAACGGGATGTAATCAAGGCATGTGTCAATGTAGCCAGATCTGATGTCTGGAGGAATGGGCGCAGCTGGCACACAGGTTTTAACTGTGCAAATGCACTCCTGGCCAATGCTGAAACCTGGGCATCCAGGCTCAGAGTGGAGTCCAGGAGCACACCCAAACTGCGAGCCTGAGATTTCAGGGGGAGTGTAACCCCATCCATCACAGGCAACGTCCCTATTCCCTGATCTGCTTTACAACTGACCTGGAGCACCTCTGTCTTGTCTGGATGAAGTTTCAATTCGTTTGCCCTCATCCAGTCCATTGCTGACAGCAGACACTGGTTCAGTACAGAGACAGCTTCCTTGGAATCAGATGGGAAAGAGAGATAGAGTTGGGTGTCATCTGTATACTGATGACACCGCACTCCAAAACTCTGGATGACCTCTCCCAGTAGTTTCATGTAGATGTTAAACAACATGGGGGACAGAACAGAACCCTGTGGGACAAGTCGAACAGGAATCCCCCAAGACCATCTTCTGAGTTCACCCCTCCAAGAAGGCCTCCAAGTCCCATCCCAGAAAGGCAGCTCAGAAGGATACCATGATCGATGGTATCAAAAGCCACTGAGAGATCCAGGAGAACCAACAGGGACACACTCCCCTTGTCCAGTTCCCTGCGGAGGTCATCCACCAAGGTGAAGCCACCACTTTCTCCAAAACCTTGCCCAAGAATGGAATATTAAAGACTTGGCAATAGTTATCCAGAATAACTTTATCAGTAATGGCCTCACCACAGCCTCCTTTAGGCAGGATGGCAATGTGCCTTGCTG